CCTTTTCAACGCAAAGCTATGCTTAATGAAGTTAAATAATTTTAGAGCAAGACAATTAGTAACTCTTTATTATCCGACCTTAAGAATTAAAGCTTCCTACAAATTTTTAGTAGAAGTATGCATGCACAGTTGATTGAGTTAAACGTTGAGTATGATTGAATTCAACTAAAAAGCATTTACTGAACGTTAGCTTATCTTACGCAACACTTCATGGTTCACTAGTGTTGTTTGTGGTTGTGTATAGATACTGCTAAAGAGTATCGAATTAAAAATGCATATCTATCCTGTACAACTAATATAATTGAAATCATGAACCGATTTAAGTTGGAAAATAATTTAAAGGATGGAAGCATTGGACGGCTGTCTCATTTTAATATAGAAATCCTTAGCAGTAAGCATCTACGATCCCGCACATAGAGCTCGAACAACAGGACCTACAGTCTCAGACGAAAGTTCAACCTCTAGACTACTGAGTCAATGTCAACCGGTTTTAATGTCTAACTTCAATCAACCCATAATATTGCGCGATCATCTTCCCTTATCTTCTGATAATACCAGTCAGTGATGTAATATAATTGTCAACATAAATAACTATCTAAATTATACTAGTGCATATTATATTGTTAAATCTTGGTATTTGTTGTTCACTATGGGCCTACAATACTTATAGATTTAGGAACGATTAAGCCACTCTAATATGACCGGTTTTGTGGAGTAAACTGATAACGGCAACTTTATACAGAGAACTTCACCGCTTAGCCACCAACACAGGGAAAAACAAATGATACAAAAGCTCAATATTTAAAGTAAAACAAGCAGAACAAAACGAAATGGTGCTTCATAGACATGGTAACAAAAGCATGACATTTAAGTGTACAAAATTTAACAAACTAAAGGCTATGACAACCAATCATAAAAAAAGCAAAGGTTATATAAAAAATTGAACTGGAAAAAGGGGACTTGATGTTATGATTCCTAATAACATTTTATTACTGTTAAAAAACTTTAAGTGATCTCGTGGATCACCACCATAGAAACATGATACTTACATATGTCAGTGTGATAGGTAACAGAAGAATTCAATCTAGTGACTTCAACAAATATTTCTAGTGTTTCTATTAATCTGACTAAGTAAACGTAAATGCACTTGTCTTTGAAATATGTCCTGATGTATGTGTGTCTGAGAGAGAGCGTGTTCAAAATGCTATTGGGCTGACTAAACTGTAAGTATTTGAGGCATGGTTTCGAACCTGTGATTGAATGATTGAATGCTGGATAATCTGTTTCACTCTAAACAGTTGCATCACATTATAAGTATAAACTGGAGAAAAAAACTTAACCGTAATTGTATACAGTAACATCTTTTTATCTAATCTGTAACATAAATTGAGAGGGGTATTGGGGGCGGGTGGAAACAATAGAAATTTTTCAAGTGACATTTCTTTTTCTAGAGAGACATTAACAACAATTCTTTGTCCTAGAAAAATATTAGAAAACACGTTCCAAAACAAATATTTATATTTTTTTATCTTTCATAAATAATAATTAACGTGAAAACAAGAAGTTTACACGAAAACATGTTTTAAACGCAAAGGTTGATAAACAAACATAGAGCTTCTAGCGCGCGCACATAAAAATACACACACACACATCCATACCTACACCTATTGATATACTTCAATTTTGATTATCAAGTCAATCATTCAATGTAGAAAATAGTTTTCTCAAGTGTTATAATTACTAACAGTAAGGTAATGACAATAACAATAGTAAATAAATAAGTAATTTTGTATAAAAACCAATATTTATTATGATTATTATAGTTATAAAACTACAATTCTCCCTTGGGAAATTCAAGACTGTACATTTTGATTGAAATAAAATGTATTTTAATGTTAATAGGCTTCTTAACCTATAGATGATTTGCTCCCCCCCCCAGTTTATTGAATATTAAAAAAAGAGCCCAACATCAAAATGTGGATTCATGTTTCATTAGTTGTTTTGTAATTGATTTATGTACATTCAATATTTAATTTTATCAGTTGAGATCATGAGTCAATTGAAGCTAGACCACCATAGAAAACTTGGAAACACTGGATGGATGTTTCGTCCTACAGTGAGACTCCTCAGCAGCGCGCATTCCTGACCTCGCCTCGTGGGACTAGTTAAAGCTAGACATTAACACCGTTGAATGCCGGCTCGGTGGTCTGGTTGGTTAAGCGCTCGTGTGTAAGACCGATAGGTCCTGGGTACGAACCTTGTGGGGGCGGGATCGTGGATGCGCACTTCTAAGGTGTCCCACAATAAAACGAAACAGTCGTCCAGTGCTTCCAGGTTTTCCATGGTGGTACAGCTTCAATTGATTCATGATCTCAACTATTGTAATAATTGTTTGTCAAGGTAAACTTTAAAAAGTCTTATCTTTCAAGGTTTATTTATATCATATATCGTTATTAGAATATTAAAAATACAAAATTTACATGGATAATTCCATGACAAACGGAATTCAATCGAGTGGAGCATGAGAAAATTATCAGCAGATATCATTCATATACCAATTTGACAGTAATAATAACCAGTTGTCTAAACAGCGGTGTATAAATCAATGATTATATAGTTGAGAAAATAGATTTATGAAGATGTTAAGTCAAATAAAAGCTTTGAGTATTATGTATATGGTATTACAGTATTTGATAGGAAGACCATGGGTCATTTATTCTTTTCCGAGTAATATTAGCCCCTTTGTGAAAGGACAAATGTGATAATATTTTCTCAATGCGTAGATCCGCGTTGACCTTTGTTGTTAATTGATTGATCTCATTTCTACTTTACCTATTTGTTATTCCTCTCAAGGTCACATTTCATTTCTAGACATACAGAAATGTCTTACCGCAAATTTATCTTCTTGAATATAAAGCTTCTCTTAAACTCGTAATTTGCTTTAGGAACTATTGTTAAGAAGTTGTCTATTAGTCGTCCAGTGATTCGAGTCCAGTTTACATTTGAAAAATGTGCAAAACAATCATAGTCAAAAACTACCGTGAAACAATCGGATTATTAAGACAGTATTCCAATAGTATTATTATTTACAGTTTCAATGATATACTCAAATTTTGAAAACAATTCAGATTCAACCACATTAGTTAGTTAGGAAAGTTGTTTGATGAATAACTACTTTGAATTATTGAATAAAAAGTACATTTTTAAAAATCTTATAGTTAAATTCATGAGTCAATTGAAGCTAGACCACCATGGAAAACCTGAAAGCACTGTTGAATGCCGGCTCAGTGGTATAAAGATTAAGCGTTTGCGTGCGAGACTGATGGGTCCTGGGTTTGAATCTCGAGTGGAGCGGAATCGTGGATGCGTACTGCTGAGGTGTCCCATACTAGAATGAAACAGCCATCCAGTGCTTCCAGGTTTTCAATTGTGGTCGATAGCTTCAATTGACTCGTGATCTCTATTATAAAATCATTAAAATCTCCAGAAAATCCCTCTCTGATTATAATCATCATATGCTCACTAGCAACTGTCTCCAAGAGTTATTTCATGGAATTCTAGTGAGAAGCAGTGTCCAGTGGAGTTCAACAATGTCTGTTGTGAGATAGTAACTCATTTAAGATAATGATGTTTGGTGGTGCGATTTCGTGGATTGTTTGAAGTTAGACATTAACATCGTTGAATGCCAGCTCAGTAGTCTCAAGTTTAAGCGTTCGCACATGAGACTGATAGGTCCTTAATTCGAATATCGCGGCGGTTGACGTGATCATGGATGCACACTGTTCAGGAGTCCCATACTAGAACGAAACGGCCATCCAGTACTTCCAGGTTTTCCATAATGATCTAGTTTCAATCTCCATAAAACCCCTTTCTGATAATAAACACTTGTTCTAAGTCATTTCATTCTCTTAAACATTTAATGATAATTAATTCTTTTTTTTTCTTTAAAATATTCTTATTTAGATTAATAAATCTACTGTCAATACAATAATTATCATTACTGAAATGGTTATTACTCAAATTGAAAATGTAACAACTATTATTAACACGACAATATCTCCTATCAATTTAATTTCAATAAATGATACATTTAATATATTATCTTTTAATAAACAATATAATAATACATCAATTTCAACATTTCAACAAAGTACTATTCATCATAATCATGATCTACTTCAAGGAAATGATTATTTTAATAGAAGTAATAATCAGATCATCATATTAAAATCACCATTTGAATCAAATACAATTAAAACAAATTCATTAATTAAAAGTATCCGTCATGCTATTGATAAACCATTAGCTGGTTTAATTATAATTAGTGTATTATTTTTAATAATTAGTATTTTATTAGGATTAATTGTATTAATATTTTATAAAAAACGTAATACTGTATTTGTTTATGAAAAAAGTCAACATGGTGGATTATATTCACCTGATGATCGATCAATTATTATTGGTCAAACAATGGAAGCTAGAAAAATTGGCAAACAATTGGTTATTATGCATAAACATGATTCATTGTACAGTTTCAATGATAATGATGATGATAATGATTGTAGTTACAATGACAATGATGTTGATATTGATATTGATAATGATAATGATAATGATGATGATGATTATGGGGAGATCAGTTTTACTAATACAAATGATAATTATCATGGTAACAATGATATATATAAAACAATATTTAAAAAACCTATAAAATCTTCATATATATTAAGATCAGAATATGATTTAATTAGAAATCCTCAAACTATTTCAGTATTATCAGATCAGAAGAAATTTATAAATCATGAACAATCATATGTGGATAAAATGAATCAGGTAATAGAATGTCATTCATTATCTCTGCCATTTGTTATCTCTGTAACTATATCTCTCTTAAAAATTTTGATTGAAATTTTTGTTATTAAAATCAAGTTTGTAAAGATCTTTGAGTTTCATAATTAATATCATAAGACAAAAGATGAAAAACAGGAATCACTGAATAGCTGTTTTGTTTAAAGATGATACTCTTTAAAAGTGTGAATCAGTAAACTTATCAGGGGATCGAAATCGGCATCCTGAAATTAAGGCATGCAAATTATTGGTAGTCGGTTAATCAGTTTCACAGTTTACTGTGATTATGAATGCACATCACTGAGGAATCTCATACAGGGGTGAAAAAGCAGTCCAATGTTTCTTAGTTTTCAGTGGTTGCTTTACTAAATTCACTTTGTAATGCGAACAATAATTCTATATGGTCAAGATCTGTTTATATTTTTGAGGTTTTTATCATGATATGCTTCTAAATGGTTTGATGTAAACAAATTCTTTTACACTTAAGTAAAGATTTGCATAGGTCTAAGATTAGCGTATTATGTTGAACAAGTGAATGGAATATGGATTATAGGGTTAGAAAAATACAAAAATAACAGAATTATCATCCATTCATTGTTTTTAAATTTCTTTGGTATACTAACTGTTAACTCTAAAATGATGAAGGAATCATTTTTTAATGAAGACAAATGAAGAATGTCTTACTTTCAAAAACATACACAACAGGGTAGGTGAATGTGAACTTTGTAAAACCAAGATTATCTGTCAATAGTTCTCCATTAATTTTAATTATTAAGGTCTACCGATGGGTGAAGTTCTGAATGATTTATGCAGGATTAGGTATTAAACTGGAATTTTTTAAAAGCGAATTAATGTTAAGAAGAGATGGATGATGGCTAGCAGTGGAATCCAGGACGCGCGTTGCGTCCTATTTAGGACTCGTCAAGTGGATGTACCTACATCCCAGTATCGTTCGCTTCAAACGACATCGCGTTCGATCTATTGCGACTGATCAATTGCAGTCTTAAATAACAATAGCAAGTTACAAATAAAACAACACCAAACGAATTCAAATTAATATTATTTCGATAAAACTAAAAACAAATAGTTCTCACATTTCAAATCACGATCTGATCTTGACTAGACCAAGACCGCAAACCTGGAAGCACTGGACGAAAGTTTTGTAATAGTATAAGATTCCTCAACAGTGCATATTCACATCCCTTGCATTCGGAAATCTAACACAGGATATTCAGTCTTATACACAAACACAACCTCCTGACTGTGCAATATAGCGAGTTAAATAAAGTTAGACACTAACACCGCTATATGCTTAATTAGTGGTCTAGGGGTTCACATGAAATGTGAAGGTCCTGAGTTGGATTCCCGGTGCGAAGAGTCCCACAATAAAACAAAAGGGATGTCCAGTGCTTTAAGGTCTTCAATGGTGGTTTGACTAAAATCAGTTCATGATTCTACAGTTTCCACAAATCTTCTTTATCTACAACAAAGAATTGTGCTGAAAGACATCTCCTCCCCCCACTCCCAAAAAAATAGAAATTAAATTCTATATTTCCACAAATTACATCATTTTTAAAACTAATTTTTTTATCGTTTCAGATAAACAAAAAATCAAAATCTCATGGAAATCAATTATCCTCAAACAATAGTAACATTATTATTAATCCAACATTTACTTTATGTCCTAAACATGCTCAATTAATTGCTAACCGAAAATAACATGAGGGAGATAGATAGACAGAGAGAGAGAGAGAGAGAGACAGAGAAACTGTTCTTTCAGTATATGGATATATTTGGTGGTGAAAAAATGTGATATTTCTGGGAATTCATACGTGTTCGTTTATATTATATTGAATAGAAAAACAATAAAATTTTCTAATGAATTCATGGCAGCAGAATGCATATTATTTGTATATAGAAAAACTTTTGTCAACTATATTACTTATTTATAGATTAAATAGTATTGTACGTTTTTTTAAAAATAAATTGGATCTTATTTGTAGTGAACTGACAATTAACAGTTATTGAGAATGCTACAATATTCCTATTCTTTTCTTTTTGGTCTTCTATTCGATTTCAACAGATGATTGGGATTGAATCACAATGAATTTCAACTTTATACCCTCGATAAATGATCATAAACGTTGTGCTGTCTTGTTTGTTTTTTTTCTCTTTCTCTGATCTGATTTATTTGGTCGAGATCAAATAGAAAATGATATGGAGACATTGTTTTTCACTGATTATTAGGAAAGTGTAAATTAAACTTAAATTAATCGATATCTTCTAAGAGTATCAAAGGCAGATGATTCATTCCTATAACTAGAAGCTATGTTACGTAACTGTTCAGGTTACTATAGTTGTTAAGCGTAAGGAGGAAATTTCAATAAACAGTTTTGTAATGTTGATACAAGTTGAAATGTAGAAGTAGAAATGTTGAAAACGAGCTTCTTACTACTTTCGTGAATAAAATAAAAAGTTTTAATTAAGATAATGAACCAATCTAAGTTAGATATTCATTAAAAACCAGATAGTATTAGATAGACGTTTCATCTTAATATGAAATTGCTCAATAGTGCACATCCACAACTGGAATTGAGCCCAAGACATTCAGGTTTATGGCGAGCGTTTGGTCTTTAAATCATTAGGCACAGACCTAATTGTGTATATGACTAATTTAAATCAGTTTGTGATATTGTAAAACTATTAGATGGTGGTTGGAGGTAGTCGACAGGGAACCCTGGACCCGGGTTTCGTGCTACTTGGCACTCGTCAGCAAGGTGTGCCTGTAATCTTGAGGGAACTGGTGCCCCCTTACGGATTCGATCCCGTGTCACCAAGCTTCACAGTCAGAGACGTTACCACTAAGCTATTCGGGCCGCGACCGACCTCCTGTAGGACTGAGATGTAATCACAATTGATTGATCACTGGGCGATGATCAGTGTCATGCGTGTCTAGTCCTTATTAGTGCAGATCGAATGCTATTGTCCCTGACTATGAAGCTGGGTGACACGGGATCGAATCCGTAAGGAGGCACCAGTTCCCTCAAGATTACAGGTACACCTTACTGACGAGTGCCAAGTAGCATGTAACCCGGGTCCAGAGTTTCCTGTCGACTACCTCCAACAACCATCTAATCTTAACATAGTGCACGAAGTGTCGAGTCACCTAGACTAATGGCCACATTGCAACATGGTTGATAGCATTCGATCTGCACTAATAAGGACTAAACGCGCATGACATTGATCACCACCCAGTGATCAATCATTTGTGATTGTACAACTACCCTTTATTGTCTTCGATTAGTAGCTGCCTCACACTCGACATAGTTGAACTCCATCGGTCAAAGCTGTTGACTAGAAACCCTGAAATTTTCTCTCGGAATTATTCCTTACTTAACGCGTGGTAACGTGTTTCTGAGGTCACGAACTGACATAAATCAGGCAATCATTAAAACTCAGAAAGCAGTGGACACCTGTTATGCTCATAACATATTCTTGAAGCATACACCAGTCAATACGAAAACAGCAAAGATGAATAAATGATTCACGGTGTTAGAAAGGGGTTTTAAATTTTAAGATTAGAATTTTTAGTTAGTAAGTAAAGTTTAAGACTACCTTTTATGATTAAAATGTAGAAATTAGAGCTTAGATTTAGTGTTTAAGATTAGAATGTACATATAAGATGTAAAATTACGATTGGGGTATGAATTTTACATTCAAGATTCACAACAGCTATAGACTTACTGTAAAAGCTAGTTCTAAATGATTACCTTTAATCATAAATCCGAACCCTCACTGCAACAATGATTTATAAACTTTACATTCTAATTCTAAGAAATTATTACCAACCCTGACCCAAAACGCTAACACCATAGTTCTAAATTCTAATCATATAGCTTAATTCTCAGTTATAAGGATAGAATGATTTAAACAGTATGGAATTTTGAAGACTGTTGAATTTCATTTAAATCATAAATTAATTTAAGTTAGACCACTATTAAAATTTCGGGGGAATTGGACGGTTGTTTCGTCTTAGTATGGGACTCTTCAGTAGCGCACGTTTGCATGAGAAACCAGAGGTCCTCGGTCCGAGTCCCGAGTTTAAAATTGTAGATGTACACTGCTGAAAAATACCATCCTAAAACAAAAAAGCTTCTTAGTGCTTTTAGTTCTCCACTAGTGGTTTAATTTTAATCAATTTATGATGTCAACAAAATACTTTTATCAACAAATTTAATTTTCTACGCTTATTAAACAATATTCTGTCTAAATAATAACGTCATGGTCTTGTAGTAATTCAGAAAAGTTCATTATTGTCTTAGTCCCTTAGTTTCACTTCCCAGATCATTGTATAATATAATATGATGTATTACCATAGAATTAGTTAAGGGATTTTTTCCTTCCTCTAATAAAATTGATCTTTTTGAACATTATAATTCAATTTACAAGAATTACAGACTATTTATATATATATATTTACACTGACATTGTTTTTGTAACCATTTAACTACTCACTAACTTATACACTTTAATACTCATTCAAATCTAACTTTATTTCATACTACTTAATTCTTAAGTACATTATATTACATTATTACTCAAATAATATTTTACATTGTAAATGTAATTACAGAAAATTAGATTATCTACACTAGAAGAAATGATTATTCATTTGATAGTTTGAATGTGATTATATAAATAAATATGATTGTTTATTTTTATAAAATCGCGCGCGCACACACACACTACATGCATACACGTGCACAAATATGAATTTTAAACAAACGATAACGTCATCATGATTACCATTTTATTGATAATTGATTATCAATTCATTAAGTGGAAGAAAGAAGAAATTTTTACTGGTTTTTCTATTTCGTTTTTTTTTGGTGGTGGTGGGGGGGAGAGGAAGTGAAAAAAAAGGCAAACTATTGCCTAGAGGATTAATGAAAATAGATATGGGAGTGATCAAGAACTGAAATGGGAAAAGAGAAGTTAGGCTGAAAAGAAGAGAGAGATTTAAAAGAAAATAAAACATACAATACAAATAATAATGGTAATAAGATTGAAGATTAAATAAAAAGAAAAACACAATCGAATTTTTTTCTTACAATACAAAGGAAAAAAATAGAAAGAAACATTGGATGTTTCCAATAGTGAATAAGTAAAATCTTGAAAACAAACAATCTACTTTTCACTATTGAATTACCTTTAATCTATGATC